AAAGCAACAAATTTGTAAGACAGATTTTTTTAAAAGTTATTTGTTTTTGAGTTATAAGCCTTTTTATATTTTTATATATAAAAAGTGGATATCTTTAGCTGTCCGGTACTGTATATACAACTTTAGTCATTGCCTATTTAAGGGCTTCACTATATCTATGTCTATCTATAGTTACCTACCAATTGCTATACTTAAGATCCGCTTGTGAATCTCTATTTAAACCTTCTGATTGACTTAATACTGTCAGATGCTTTCTCCAGAAGAATTCCTGTTACTAAGGCCCTTAGGACTAGTTTATTCTCATAGTAAACCTACTAGAGTGGTCCATATTCTACCCATATATCATCTAAATTTTTTGGTAACTTACACCCCAATCTGAGAACTAGAACTTGTGATCTTTATCATCACTACTATTACCTACTCCCTGCTCTTACAAGGTTCATTCTGATCCTTATACCTACTTCTAATTGGCCTTTATACTGATCTCTCTCCAACTACCAAACTAGTTAGCCCAGAAGGGTTGTTGTATCTAGACTCTAAGTGCTTTCTGGTTTTACTTCCCTTGGTTTTGAATTTCATAGCATCGAACCTTTTCCTTTAGTGCGACTTTGGTAGCCAGGTTGGTGGATTCTTCTTGCCCTAGAGTTGTTCATCTAGTTTTTTGGTCTTCAGTTCCAGTTTTCTGTAATATCGTTGAAGATATAATTAGGGACATGACAAAAATCAGGTAATTTTTTAGGGGGAGGGGGAGGACCCCGAAGATTTCTAATATAACTCAGAAATTACTAAAAAAGGAAATTTTGCGTAGAAATTCATCAAACATTGTATTTTTATATAGTAAAATTTTTAAATTTTGGCCTATTTTATACACCTATTTGGCTGATATTATACAAACTTAGATCTAAATTGTATCAGAGATCTTTGGGGTCCTGAAGGGGGATAAAAAAGTTAAAATTATATATAAGAACCTGATTTTTTTTTATATTAAGAGAGGGAAGGAGAATAAGCCTCTGATAAAAAAAATCAGGTGATAAATAACACTACCCTTAGTTAATCATATTTCATTATATAATTATTAATAATTTTTATCTCTGATTCATTAGATAACTAAAAAGTTATATTGTAACAATCTAAAGTATATAATATTGCTTTCTATACTTTTAATTCTTGATTAGGGCAGTATTATTTATCATCTAATTTTTTTATCAGAAGCTTACCTCTCCTCTTTCTTACTATATATCTTGATTAGATCTTTATATATAATTTTAAATTTTTTACCTCTCTTTCCTCTAAAAAATCATCTGATTGTTGTTATGTTCTTTACTAAATTCTTATCTATTTAGATAAAGATTTTTAAAATTAGACATAAGTTCAATTATCAGATTTTTACTTTTAGACCAAGATTCAAAAAATTAATACCATTCTATATTTACAAGGGTTTGGTAATAATTGTTACAGATTATCGTGAAATTGGATTATCATGAAATTTGGATCTATTTTATGTATGATTTTTAAAAATTTTTAGAGCCTTTTTTGTAGACTTTTTTTTTATAGTTAAGTTAGGATTTAGGGTTAGAATTATTAATAAAAGAGTATAGGTAGATTTTGGTAGGGCTTATATTTTCAAATTGAGACCTTTAAATTTCATGATAATCTGATTTCACGATAATCCGTAACAATAATTGTATACAAATTCGAATGAAGAAAAAATATACCAATTTTTTAAAAAATATATAGATTTTAAATTTTGTTAAATAATTTTTTGTGTAAATAAATTTTCAAGTCTAAAAAGTTGTACTCCTTTGTATTGTATTATAAATCCTGAAATTTTTCAAATTTCATTTGGTAAACTAGTTATAAATCATTTTTGAACTTTACTATTTTGATAAATTTCAAGTATACAATTTTTGTTATTGATTATATAGTAAATACAAATATTGCTAACTTTTCATTATATTTATTACAAAGTAAAGCTTTGTATCCTAATTCACCATAAATCCAATCTTTACATAATGAAGAACCAATCCCATAAACAAAAATTTAATATTTTCTAACAAAAAAAATAAAATAAAATAAAATATTCTGAGATAATTGTGAAATTATATTTGTATTGTTCCACCCCATTACAAGTGGACCAGAAAACAGGGTTGCCTTTTTTGAAATATTCTAGTATATAAGTTTAAAATTACAACAGAAGAACTATTTTTTATATTGCTTGAAAAAATATCTGAAGTACAAATAAAACCTGGTGCAAATGCATTATCAGAATTTCTTATTACAATAGTAATATAAAAATCTCTTTCATTTAAAACAACTTTTGTAGTTTGGCCAATACAAATCAGAAAGTAATTTGAAAATTTATTATTACTTTCATCATTGTTTTTTTTGCCGCCAAAGGTAAGAATACGGACATAGTGTAAGTTTGGTAAAACAGAACCTACTACTAACAGAGTAGTTTTATGAGTTTTAAGAACCATAAAAAATAAGACGATGTTGAGATTCAAACTCTATATAATTTTTACTATGTTAATTATCCTCAAATTTTATAATAATAAGTTATAAGAATCCATCTGAATTCGTAATTAACGTTAAGGCTATTATATCACATGATGCTTAATTACAGGGGCTAACTAGGGGCTAACAATACTCCTTACAGTCTTTCACTAATGACAATATAACTTGTTCACGTAAAATTCGAAACTTTTACTTCAAAGAAATGTTGTTTCTTTGTAAGTTCTTTTGTTTTAAAAGTTGGAAATTTCATGTAATAACTTTATATTGCATGCTGGCATCGTTAGAATCGTCTCTAATAAAAGTTTGTGAAACACGCGATCCCATGCGATCCCAAACGCTTGTATTAGTTTTACCTATTCTAACACTGTTTTTTCAATAGAAATAAACAACCAATAGAAATGAATTCCCGATATGCTGGCTTTAACCAACCCCAAATTTGGTAATTCCGAGAATGTATTATTTAACTTTCAGATTAATTTTGATGCATTTGATTACTGTTTCTGGCCATCTGATCATCTTTGTCCTAAGATCTGATGCACAATAAATTTCGGATCTGTTTTCATGACCACTGTAATATACGTATAATGATACCAATTATAAAGTATAATGATACCAATTATAAAGTATAATGATACCAATTATAAAGTATAATGCCAATCTTAAGTGCAAGGTATCGGTCTTTTAAATCCGATAACTTGTATAAAAGCTGCATACCAGCTTTGAGAGGATAGATTGCATCATTTTTTTTTCATATTAAAGTATGTAACGCGTAAATTTGGGTACGTCGTTTAATTGACCAATCATATCCTATGCATGAAACTTTTCTAATTTTATATACAGTAAACAGTAAATAAACATAACGAAATAACAATGCACTAAACCAAAAATTTGTATTTGTTAATCACGAACTTTTCTATTGGAAGTAGAACATACAGCAGAAATCTGTGACGGCTGAATCAGCGCAGGATAATAATGCAAGATGATAATGATAGAGTACAAATCATAGTAAAAATGCAAATATTTTTATTCATATGATGGAGAAGATATAACGTGATTGACGTGTTATTTCCGCCCAAATATTAAAGTAGTACAAATATTCCGGACGTATAATAAAGGGAACCGAATTCTAATTAATAAAAGACATTACTTGTAACTATATTAATTATAGAGACTTGTACATCAATAAATGACATCGAACGTAACCATACAGCATTCAATCCATCTGGGCTAAAGCTGTGCATATACGTACGTACAGTACGTACGGTAACAATAATGATAAGCAATAATGATAAGCAATAATAAGCAATAATGATAAGCAATAATAAGCAATAATGATACACATTGAACCTTTTTTTTTTTTTTTTTTTTTGAAAGAAAACATGTCAAATAAGCGAAAACAAAACTGTCACAAAACTGTCAGAGGTAAAAGATGCAAACAAGTGGGCGGGAATTATTTTATTATTAAAATTCTATTATGAGAAAATTATCTGCACAGCAGAAATAAATTTTCAACGAAAGGTATAAACTCTAAATAAAATTAAACTCTATAGTAAATTATATATACTGTATATATTGTAGATTATATTATTTTTGTTGTTTTTGAGCTATAAACCTATGATTTTTACCATAAGTGCGATAAGAATTAATATCATTTCCTAATTTTGACATTAAATTATCATATTCTGAGTCTTTTAAACTCATGATATCCATTAAAGGTTTTCTAAGACCCTCGAAGAATTGGAGAAATGTCTGCGCAGTAAGTTCACCTAATAATAATAAGGAATTCAAATAAATATATAAGTATACATAATACTAGTTACATAAAGATACAGTAAATTTATTAGTAACGATAATAAAAAAGTTATATGTACCTATTTTTCCACCATGTGAACCATAATATACAACTTTTTGTTCATGATGGATATTTTCTAGCTTACCAGTAGCTTTCATGAAGTCACCAATTCTCCGTGATATTAAAGGGTCCATATGCCGTGCTTGTAATTCAGTATGAACTAATTTTAAAAAGGTGTATTAGCATGTAATCATAAACATTAAAAAATTCAAAGATATTTATTTAATAAAATACTTACTAGCATTGCATAATTTGTCTAAAGATGGAGGCATGTTATACCATAACTAATAATAATAATAATAAGAATAATAATAATATATAAATATATAAATATATAAATATATATAAAATTTAAATTTAGAACCAACAGACATATTAAATTTAAAAAGTTGAAATACTATTTACCACTTCATCATCAAAACATTCCAAGTAACCACCGGGCTTTAATATTCGAGTGAGTTCTGACACGGAAAGAATAAAGATTAGGATGCAGTTTACAACATTACAAAATCGAAAGTGTAAAGTAAAATTACCTGGTATTACATAGTTTTCCCATTCATTATCATTGAAATATGTTACTAATGACCTAGCATGTATATAGTCAAAAGAATTATCCTGAAAATATTCATAAAACAATTTATAAGTTTAATGAATGAATGAATTAAGAGAATTTGTAATAAAAGTAAGTAAAAGTTAATTACTTCAAATTCTAAGCCATCCATTATATTTGCAACGATGAATTGAATATTAAGAGGCTTTTGTGTAGGCCAAATAGGAGCAAAATCTACACCGACGAAACTTGCTGATGGATAATCAGTTGCCTAACAGAACCAAACAAAAGTATGAGCGTAAAATGAATTTATCATATAAAGATATGTAATTAAGAAACGAAACTAACCACATCGCAAAGCCATGTACCTGTCCCACAACTTTAATTTGGATAAAGAATTATCATTAGATATCATTAGATTAGATGAATTATTATCATTAGATATCATTAGATATCATTAGATATCATTAGATGGAAGAATTAACATATCGATAAGAATGCATACCCGAAATCAAGCACTTTAAAGTTTCCCGCCTTTAATTTATCTTTGATGGGAGCCAAGAAGTTCCCATTACATATGGTTCTTAGAATGTGATGTTGTGTTTGCATGCGATCGATTTGCGTATCATTTATTGGAATCATGTAAGGATTGTCAAAATCGTATTCTCTCTTTAAGCTACCTGAGCCATTGTAATTGTTTGCTACTGAAATAGAATTTCTTTTTC